ACAACAAAAGGTTCATCTCAGTATCCGCTAGAATTCTTAACTTTACCGAAAATTACAAATAAATTGCCCCTGGCACCGGTCCATATGACCGCCTGGAAAGTTCCAGAGGGCATAGATTTAGCCGACCCATCGTTTGCCGTACCAAGTAAGATCGATATTTTGTTTGGTACTGAAGTATTTTTCGAAGCTCTAAAAACTGGTCAAATTAAACCGTTAGAAAATAGTCCATTGTTTAAAGAAACCGTATTCGGGTGGATTGTCGCGGGTTCAGTTCCCGTGAGGAACTCAACACCATTGCACTCTTTTCATGCTCGAGTTCGATCAGAAGAAGAGAGTTTAAAATTACAAATTGAAAAATGTTGGAGCTTAGAAGAGATAATAAGTTCCCCAATCACCCCTGAAGAAAATGATTGCGTCAAGCATTTTAATAAGACGGTAATTAGAGATGAGGAAGGTCGATTTGTGGTATGTTTACCTTTGCGAAAAAATTTCAAGCAATTGGGAGACTCCCGAGCAACAGCGCTCAAACAATTTTTATCATCTGAAAATAAATTGCTTAAAAATGAAAAGTTGAAATCAGATTACTCAAATTTTATGTATGAATATTTGCGACTGGGTCATATGGAAAGAGTAACAAATAATGTAAGTCCAAATATAAAACCATATTATATACCCCACCATGCGGTAGTACGTGAATGCAGTGCGACTACAAAGTTACGCGTAGTTTTTAATGCGAGTTGCGCTACTACTACGGGCTTAAGTTTGAACGATGTGCTGTTCAAAGGTCCAGTAATACAAGATGATTTGTTTTCTATTCTTACACGTTTTCGAACTCATCAGTATGTACTGTCAGCGGACTGCGAAAAGATGTACCGCCAAATTTGGGTTAGCAAGGATCACCAAGATTTACAATGGATTCTGTGGAGATCACAACCAGATCAGCCAATTGAAGAATTTCGTCTAAAAACTGTTACCTATGGCACATCACCAGCAAGCTACT